TGTCACCATGTTACTGTCACAATGTTACTGTCACCATGTTACTGTCACCATGTTACCGTCACAATGTTACTGTCACCATGTTACTGTCACAATGTTACTGTCACCATGTTACTTTCACCATGTTACTGTCACAATGTTACTGTCACCATGTTACTGTCACAATGTTACTGTCACCATGTTACTGTCACAATGTTACTGTCACAATGTTACTGTCACCATGTTGTTTCACCATGTTACTGTCACAATGTTACTGTCACAATGTTACTGTCACAATGCTACTGTCACAATGTTACTGTCACAATGTTACTGTCACCATGTTACTGTCACCATGTTACTGTCACCATGTCACTGTCACCATGTTACTGTCACCATGTTACTGTCACCATGTCACTGTCACCATGTTACTGTCACCATGTTACTGTAACCATGTGAGCCGAAGCTCAACCACTGGCCATCAGAGGCCGACACACAGAACAGTCCAGTTCTGCTGACACACACACACACACACACACACACACACACACACACACACACACACACCTACTTTTTTATCCATAACTTTTCATCTATTTTCAGATGAGTACATATATGTGGAATGACAGTAATTTTCTATTAGTAAAATATTGTCATATCCCAGAAAGATGTTCTTATTACATCTATAAAGAACTTTAAACCTTTACAACATTCACTTCATCTTCACAATTCATACATAAAACTATGTGAAATGATAAAAGTGTATATTTTGTACACTCATGAAAAGGTTGAAAGTTGTAAACGACTCAAGAGTCTGAAGTTTATTGTTTTATTGGTGGTTTCATGTAAAAATAAAACTTTGATAAATGCTGACAGGAGGTTTTACTGGGATTCAAACCTGCAGAGACACAAAGATGGAACACCTGTAGGTGGAACCAACACTCAGCTTGATTTGATTTGATTTGATTTATTTAACAGGAAAAGATTATTAAAAATCAAGCCTGACTCAGCATAATTGCTGTTTTACAGCAGCTTCTGGACATACTGAAGTCTTAGACATCCCTGCATGAAGCATAGTCTGAACTGATCCAGACTGGTACAACTCAACCCAAACACCAGCAGGTGGGGTTGTGATGTCATAGTTCTGTGGACCGAGGGCTCACCTGTCTCTGAGCAGAACCTTCCCGGTGTTTGGATCGATCGTGTGCACAATGATGCCTCGGTTTCCCCAGCCTCTCTGGAACAGGTACTGGTTTTGGTTGTCTCCAGGGTGAAGGGTCTTGTTGAGGAAAGTCCAGGACAGTTTCTTCTTGCCATGAATCTCCAGAGTCCCACCTGTTCCCACTCCGATGAACTTCCTCCCAAAGTAGGGGTGTTCTTCATCGCTGTCGTCCAGTCTGATTGGACGATGAGACGTGTGGAGGATTGATCAAATGATCACTCTGTCTCATTGTATTTCAGTTAAAGATATGAAACTGTGTTCTGGCTCTTCARTAAACTTTACCTTCCAAACAGGGAGATGGTGAGGTTGCCTTTGTAGGGACATTCTGGACTTCCGATATGCAACTCTCCTTTGGTTCCGATTAGAATATGTTTTGTCCGAAGGAGAATGGGCCGACTGGTATCAGCAATCACCAGTTTTCCTACAGAGGAGAGAGGAAGAAGCTGGAGAAGGCAGCTCTCCTGTTCCATGGTACCATTCACAACCAGAACCTCTGTAAACCAAGAGCCAAGTCCAGTAGACTCAGCTCAGCAGAGAAATGGTTTTATACATTTATTGAACAAACATCTGACTCAGTAATATTAATAACTGTCAAGATTGTTACTTGAGCAAAACAGCTTTTCCTGTTCTTTATTTCAGTTAACTTCAGATATCTGTCCGGTGAACCTGGACATGTTTGGTATCAACAGAAACCTAAGAATCTTGGCTAAAACTCATGGAAACTATTTCTACATTCACCAAACAGCTCAAATGTCCAACAGTTGAATCAGAAAGTAAACAAACTGTAGAAAATGGCGTCATTACAAATCTGTAAAAGAAAGATTTTTGACTTTATTTTTAAAGCAAGTCGAAGTACAAACCAAAATATGTTGTAAAGTGTTGAATGTTGTTTTTACTTGATTTTGAGTGAATATGATCCAACTGAAGTCAGATATAATTTCTCATTATTTTAAATAATATATATATGTGACAAATAAAAGTTTGGAAAACTTTGACAGAAAACAAATATTCAATAATAAGTGTTTTCAGGCAGGTTAGACAAAATAAATAACTTTTGCAATTATAAACTTCAGATTTCTTAACATTTATTAATGATAGCATCATGGTCTGTCCTGTGCAGAATGACAAAATGTAAAATTATTTCTTTACTAAAACCTCTGTAACTTTGCTCCAGTTCATGTTAGCAGCATGAATCTTTGCACAGGTGATGCTCACAGGTGGATTTATGGTTTCCAAGAGTTTTTAGCCTGATTCATTATGGTTTTAAATGGGTTATATAATGTCCAATGCAATCAATATCTCTATATATTTAACAGCAGCTGTTTTAATACTTGTAGTTCTATTGAAATCTCCCAGTGTTCGCTTTATTTTGATGCCAAGATTATTTAAGCAGAATTTGTAAATACTGAGATCCACTCAGTTCCATTTAGGCATGAGATTTAGAGCAAAAACTGCAAGAAAATCCCTTGGAGCTTAAGAGGTCAAATAACATGACCCTAAATAAAATTAGGCATACTTGACCGTAATGTCAGACCATAGCCCAGACCCAAACCCCTGATCCTGACCCTAACCCCAGCCTGTGATGCTCTGCACAATAAAGATAAAACTCAGTTTGATTCATTTTGTTTTGAAGAATGAGAGGGAGCATGGATCACCAAGCYTACCTCCATTAAGGATCTCGATGGAGTGGACTGTAGCTGAAGTAGTTAGAAGGACTTTCTGATTGTGGTTGATGGTAACACGGTGGTCTTCACTGTGTCCTGGAGTCCAGGGTTGAAGACCTGGCTCTTTATCAGGACACACTACAGAAAACAAAACACCACAATCATTCAGTTTTCATTCAAGTCGAGCAGAATATGTCCACTGATCTCATCCGTTTGATAAAATCCCCACAGAGTTTAAGTTCAGCTTAATTCATCAAATATAATCGACTAACCAAGGAACATAGAGAGAAAAGTTTAAAACATGAACAGTGAGCCAACTGCTCATAGGTGATATTTCCTGTATTTTACTATAGTGTACCATAACGTTAGTGTCATCTGATGAGATCTGTWCTCACCTGCCAGCATGGTTGGAAACAGCAGAGCTGTAAAAAACACAACATCTGTCTTCATGTCCACAGATCACTGTCCCACTCAGGTCCACAGGTGCTGCGGAGACCTCCTGCTGGCTTCAACAAGGTCAGATGAAGTCTGAAGATCCTCGAGAGAGGTCACTAAAGGAACCTGCAGCCATGAAGAGAAGAACACTGAGAGAAGTTTGAACCTGTTTCCTGGTGTCCAAATGTAGCAGCAAGTCTGTCCCAGTTTTAGACCAACAAATAAACAACCTGTTCCAACAGGATACGATGTTGTGGAAAATATAAATATAAAAGAACACAATGATTTATAACTCTAATAAACTTATATTTTATTCACAATGGYATATAATAACAAATTCAATGGTAAAACTAACAAATAGAACAACTTATTAATAAGATAATTTTAAAATCTGAATGCAGCAACACATCTGAAGTTGTTCAGGTGTTTCCCACCCTAACACATCCCATCTGAACTGAACAGCAGTCACTAACATGGTAGAACTGGATGTACTGGTATTCCTCCACCTGCTTCGAGTCGTCTGCATGGAGAACCCTGAGCCTGTACTCACCTGTGTACTACGTATGTAACTAGATGAACAGTGTGTAAACATGACTTCCTCTTTGATCTTTACCWCATCATTTAAACACATATTTTATTTCTACTCTCCAGGAATTAGAAAAATAGTCAGGTTTATATAAACAATCTTCATAAATGACCTTTGACCTTTGATGCCTACATCAAACCAGACTGAGCACCACCCTACTGGTCTTACTGGTCTGTTTATATTTCATTCAGGAGGTATCTGCACACAAGACCACCTGTGATGGACAGACACGACACCAACACACACAAAACAGTATGCCTCCAGCCCCCAGTGGGCGGAGCATCCTGCCTCAATGGGCGGGGCCTCCAGCTCCAGTGGGCGGAGCCTCCTGCCTCAATGGGCGGGGCCTCCAGCTCCAGTGGGCGGAGCCTCCTGTCTCAATGGGCGGGGCCTCCAGCTCCAGTGGGCGGAGCCTCCAGCCCCAGTGGGTGGAGGCATACATATCTTAGAACTGAGGACACCAGACCTGGGGCCTGATGGATCAACAGTTCATAAACACAAAAAACTCCAGATTTATCAAGACTAAAGTCACACAACAACAGCTTTCAGAGGAAGTCTGATCAGGGCTGTGCCAGTCCTCCCTGAGCCGAGCCGAGCCGAGCCGAACGGCCTCATCCATATTCTAAAATGTAAATGGCCAACATGATGTGACATCATTAAAAGTCTCCAGTGAGGAAAATAAACAACATCTGAGTTCATCTGATCATTTTCTTTATAAACTCATAAAGTTAAGACTTCCAGGTCAGAGTGGATGAGCACAGCTACACACACACACACACACACACACACACACACACACACACACAC